GGGAGAGGATTCCATGCTGGCTCAGGAATTCTGGGAGTTGAAGTCCAGGAGTCATAAAAGAGCCAAGCTTGCCTACCCCTGACCTAGAGGAACATATGAAAGCATAATTAATGTTAATTAATGTAGACTTTATTAGTTTAGAGCAGGGGTAGGCAACCTTGGCTCTTTTATGACTGGTGGACTTCAACTCCCAGAATTCTTGAGCCAGCCACGCTGAGGGGAAAGGGAGAGATTTCCAAGCTGAGCCATGCTGGCTCAGGAATTCTGGGAGTTGAAGTCCACCAGTCATAAAGCGGCCTAGGCCTAGGCCAGAGATAGGCAACCTTGGCTCTTTTATGACTCGTGGACTTCAACTCCCAGAATTCCTGAGCCAGCCATGCTGAGAGGAAATGGAGAGGCTTCCAAGCTGAGCCATGCTGGCTCAGGAATTCTGGGAGTTGAAGTCCACGAGTCATAAAAGAGCCACGGTTGCCTACCCCTGGCCTAGGCCAAGATACGGGTAGACTAACACAAACTAAGTAAAATATAAGAAGTAAAGAAAAAAAACGCAAAGAGATAGAAAAATGAAACAGAGGAAAGATGTAAAAAAAAATAAAATCTAAGCCTGTTTTTTTTTTAATGTGAATCCCGAACACGACACAGATAAACGGGTGGAGTACTGATTGCACAGTTGGATCGGCCAAGTTGATTTTTCTGATTTTTCTCCACCCAACACACCCCATCTGCTCTCAACTTACTTTTCAAGGTGTCGTGCAGCTGTTCGTCAGACTCCCCCAGGCCCAGCATGATCGACGTTTTGGAAATCACATCAGGCTGAATTTTCTTAGCGTGCTTCAAAACGCAAATGGATTGCTCAAAATTGGCCCGTGGATCCCGAACTTGGCTGCAAAAACAACAAAAAAAGGAATCAATCTTTTTTATTAGCCTGACACGGGTAAACTTCTGGATGGATCTTAGGTTTGCTGCCTCGCTGGCTAAGTTTTATCCCTGCTCTAAGACAGAAAAACTTTGAGAATAGCGTTTCTCAAGCAGGGAACTTTCAGACGGGCGGACTTCAACTCCCAGAATCCCCCAGCCACCCTGGGATTGGCTACC